CAGTATGGATAGGTGATGTGTTACATGCTGCTTTTAAGGTGCATTTTTCTCAATAGAAAGTTAATAGAGGACATTTTAACAAACATCACCAGAAAGTTTGCGGTAATTAGGTTTTTATTTTTATAACCGCTTTCTTAGAATTTATCCAGAATTTTGGTATTTTGAAGTAAATTTGGACCAGTTGCATAGTATAAGATCTTCAGTGAGAGAAATTGAGAGCCATGGTTCAACCCAGCAGTTCATATATATAAAACATGACAAGGTTCTGGAAGCTTCCGAGAAGTGATTCTGATACTGCAGCTCTTTTGTGTAACCTTCTTAGTGCTAGTAATGTTAGTTAAATTGGATTAAAATAATCTTAATCCAAAATTTTGTTGATGTATTCTGATGAGCAAAATCAGATCTTACGTTTTGGCAAGTCGCAGCATGATGAGGGATCTTCTTAAGCAGGGAATTAGTAATACCAGATACTTCATCCACCAGGGAAGTATATTTTCTTAATTAAGAACTTTAGTACTAAAATGCCTTTTCCCAAAAGAGCCAAAATGAGTTTCTTGGGGGAGATGGTTAAGCTCCTTTAAATGTACTTTTGATTTCTTTTGAAAATGCGAGTTGAAATATTTTTTAAAAAGTACTGAAGTAGAATTTAAAGTATGCTGTTTCTTTTTTTATCCCACATTTTGGGATATGTAAAGAAAGTTGTTAATAATATCCTGGGGTAATTTGCTTCCTCTCTCCGTAAAGGTGATTATTACCTGCTGTGAACATGAAAAGCTCATGGTAAGTAGTCAAGGCAAACTTGACTACTAACGTTTTTGCGTTTTATTGCAAAAACTAAATTCAGATGGCTGGTTTTGGATTAGGCATCCAATTCGTGCATTATTAAAGTTGATCATGTTTGAGCATGCAAGTAATTACAGAATCTAGGACTGTTTTCCCCTTGCTGGGTCTCTGGCAGATGTTGGACCAAGAAGCTTTGTGTTTTAGCAACAACCAGCATAACTGGAGTATCTAAGGAAGTGTAGAAACTACTAAGTGTGGTCATTTTTTCCTAAATAGACGTAAAACTTTCTAGCCTTTGAAAAAACTGTATCATTTATTTTGTGCTGCAATGTAAGTATTACAGTGTGTATGTATAGATGGTTTGTATATATCTATTTATTGTAAATACGCACATACACTGTGCTATAATGTACCAGTGCTGTCATTAGACTAACCTTAGTGCAGAGGTTGGATAGGCTTGCAGCAAGACTGACTCCTCTGCAGTTACTACCGACTGCAGTGTATCAGTCTCGTGAACCTTACTGTTGTGGTTCCAGGGGATTCATTTCCCTCTGAATTAGAAGGGACTTTTGCACTTGCTTTAAAGACCTTGCACCCTAGTATCAAGCCAAATATACAATAGTCTTCATTCTCAGAAAAATGAGATGGCTTAAAGCTAACTCTTCGTTTTGTTGTCAGCGGAGAGCGGGGTTGGTCAGGGCAAGATTTGTTTCGCAATTTTACTAAACACCACAGAATGCAGGTAAGTCATTTTAGTAACTGCTAGAAATGAAAATCGGCTCAAGACACTAAAAAGTTTTCGAATTTGTCTTGCTATAAACGTTGCCAGCTTATGAGCAATGGTTTTGCAACATTTAATGATAGTTTATCAGTTGAACCGAAAAGTTTACTCACCTCTGCCACTCCTGAATGAGATGCTTCCCTATTTTCCTTCTTATTTACTGCCAGGAGGTGTCCAGAGAAGAGGATCTAAGGTAATTTTGAAATCTGAACTGCCAAACTGCAAGCAAACACTGAACTTGTTTAGAAGAAGCCTTTTTAAGTAGGATGTGGAGGAAGTATAGTCTTAAAATCTCATTCCTGTGCACTTGAGCTATGATAGTTTCATTAGAGGAATTATTTCATGCTGTGGGCAAGAATTTGTTTTGCTTCTGCATCTTGCTTTTTAGTCAAAACTGGAGATTACTATTATTGCCTGTCTTGCAAGTTGGGTTTGTTTAACTTCACCCAGGTTTCTTTGTGTCATTCTGTTGGACAGGGTTTGTCTGGAGGATTTTCCTGTTGGTGACGTTTCTCAGCACATGCTGAAGTCTGATGGACTTTATGATAAAGTCAGGGTTAGGAGAATTAGGGGGGCTTGGCTAACAGGCAAACTGGACGTCAGCTATCTCTGTTAACAGAATCAGGACTTAGTGCTCCTGCGATCTTACCTTACTTGATGTCAAGCGTTACCAATACTAGAAGGAGCAAGAGACGTATGCACCATCAGAAAGAGATTTAAACCTGCCTGTGGCTTGTATTTGAGATCAACTTCAGGGAAGCCAAAAGGCAGCTTTGTGTTTTGAGAGAGTTTTTTGATGAACTCATTAACTGACGTTGAGCTCAGTTAATGTACTGACTTCTCAATTCACTTGCTGAGCCACGGCTTGATTGTTGTTGTTGTTCTTTTTCCAACTATAAGGGCCGGACTCCAGCACCTGCGTGAATGAGATAAGCCTTCAGGTTCCGAGCCAGTCTGAATTACGACAGAAACTGTCTTCGCTGTCATCAACCTGCACTGATTCTGCCAGCCAAGACGCAAGTGAAGGAGAGTCTCCAGTTATTCAGTCCGATGAAGAGGAAGTTCAAGTGGACACTGCTCTTGCTGCTGTAACTGAAAGGAAGGGTGCTTCAGATGTTAGCGATGAAAGTGACTCTCAAACTATTTGAATCTTAAAACCATATCCTTTAAGAATGACTTCTGAATGAATGAACCAGTGAATGAAGAGCTTGCCTGTGTAACAATTTGCTAACCAAGCCTAACAGCCAGATCTTTTTACTTAGTAATACCGCCTTTTTACAAAATTGCCAGTCGTGTGGAGGTTCGTTTTTAAAAAAAAAAAAGAAAAAAATGCCTAAAGCACACACACTTTAACAGTAGTCTTGGGGCTCAGGAGAGCAGTAAAACTTGTATATACTATGTATAAGAGAATTAAAGGGGAAAGATACAACTTACTTTGACCACTAACCTTTAAATGGCTGATCGGAAATAGTCTAGACTTGATGTGTAATTCTGAACCCAAATTGTTCCTTGCATGTTTTCAGCTGCTGCAACTGAAGATTTAGGATCCAAACCAAATTGAAAAGTTATTTTCTACTCTTTACTACCTACTGTCTGCCTACTGCCTTTGTCTACTAACGCAGCAGTGTCTTTTCTCTCACACTTCTTATTCAGGACCAACTTAGTTATCATAGGTGTTAAGGAAAAAAAAAAAAGAGAAACTGAAAAAGGAGGAGATGCATATTGAAATGTTACGCTCCTCATGGAGCGGGTATCGTAGCATTGTAAAACTTACTCCTCTTTCGAGATAAAATAAAGTATTTCTATCCCAACCCTGTCTTTTACTTGATTACCCAAATATTTTATCCATGACAGTGAACATAGGAGACTAATTCAGAAAAAAAGAAAAATTATTTATAAGGAGCACCAGTGTAATTTACTTTTCCACGGTAACATGTTTGACTACACTGAGGCAAGCCAGCAATTTCAGGGAAATAAAACCTGAGTGAATTCTAAATTCAGTGTGTACATTTTATCAACCTTAGGACCTGTAGTCGTCATCATCTTAGTGTCACTTTTTCTTTTCTGCAGTCATTTTTGGCTCTAAACTTGAGCTCTGAACATGTCTAACACCTGTTTCTTGTCAAGTCTCACACTCTATTTGCAGGGATCTGCTCTCCTTTGAGAAGGCTCCTGGCTCCGGCTCTGTCATGCATGGAGGGAAGGAATGTAATCAGAAACAGCGTAAGTAAGTAGAAGGATGAGCTGTGAGGTGGATCCCTGCCAAAGACCTGCCCTGCCAAAGCTAATGGTTGGGCATGAGGCATCTCCTGCTGCTCGCCAGCTGGGCTGCGGCCAGTTTCCTCAAGGATTCACTCTCTCTCCTGTTTGCTGACAAAGTGCTTCCTGACCCCCCTCTGGGAGATGAAAGCTAGAAGCTCACTACCTACAATTAGGTATTTACTATTTAACAAGGCCTCTGTTTTCTTGAAGAATCTTCCTTTACTCACTCACTTTCCAGAAGACAGACAAAATGTCCAAAAAAGTTTTGTTTTTTTTATTAAACCTCATAGTACAAACCTGGAAAGTAAACAAAAAACTGGCAATAAACAACATGAAGTCTTTCCTTACAAGGAAAGAGAGCAGAGCAGCGCTAATAAATTAAATGTCAAACTGTAAGCCATAGTCAGAAGTTTACTGTCAAGAGGGAAAAGTACACAGCAAGGCCATAAAAACCAGACAACCACATTTGAAAACACTTGACTCTGTTTATGTTATTGTTAAATATTCCAAAACAGTTCAGTCTTCTGCAACAACAACCAACAAATTGTATTATAGGACTTTCCTGACAGTCACCACTGGCAAGCTCAGTGCAATATGGGTAGCTACGGTATTGTTGAATTCAATTACGAAACAAAACAGTTTGTGAAAACAATTTCCCTTTTTTATTCCACACATACTGTACACACAACCAGAAAAGGGCAACAGCTACTCCATTATTATTTTTTGTTGTTGTTCAGTGATGTAAGCAGCACTTATAAATGTTACAAGAAAAACCCTGTAAGCATCCAATCCAACCGATGAAGAAAGTGAAACGTAAGGCTTTTCTTCATCTTGTCTCTTCGCCATCCCTCCCCCCACCCCAAGAAAAGGCTCAAGTATTTAAAAAAATTTACAGGCATATATACAAAAGGTGTGATTTTTTTTTTGTTACAACATGAAGAGAAAAAATAGACAAGATGAAAGCAAATGCATTTTCACATTCAAAAGAAATATGCAGACCTGCTAGTGGCTCTAAATGTGATCATATAATGAAACAAATTCAAAACAAAAATTAATGCTTGACTGTGTAAAGGTGTGAAAAAACAGCAGTGGAATGGAAATGGAATGTTAGAAAGATTGCACGTCTATGACAAAAGAAGCACTTATGGCTTCACTCACTTTTTTCTTTTTTTTCTTTTTTTTTAAAGGATGCTATTGAAGGGTTTTTGATAAAGTAGCCAACAGCACCAAAAAATAACAGAATGGATTTCCTAATGAAATCAGGCACAGTTTTCCCTCACAAAACTCCTCAAGGCAGGCAGTCTTTTTTCCTCTTTTTTTTTTTTTTTTTTTAATTTTTTATTTTTTCCCCCTCAAAACAGATGCATAGTGATGTGCTGGTAAAAGAGAACATACTCCAAATCTCCTCCTTTTGCCTACAGTTAGTTAGGAAACGAAGTCCATCTTCAGCTGCCATAACCTCCCAAAGAAAGTGTGTATTCTCCAATTTAAAAAATTACAAAACTCATCTTGCCGTGACAGAATAAAAGACAGCCAAAGTAAAGCAATTTCTTTCAAGTTTTTGTCTCCTATCCCTTTTCTCTCTAGAAAAATCTGCTCACATGACTGGAGAACAAATTATAAAACACATCAAACTTTAACCTATTCAAAAAATGGGTTAAAAGCCTTTTTTCACAGTTACCAAAAAGGCTTTTTATTTTTTCAGCCATAGGGACAATACAAATTAATATTTTATCAGCCCCTTGCCGGTTTTAAAACAGTGAACATACGGCAGTTTAAAAAAATCAGACTGCTGTATCTATCTATTCTAAGTACAAAAAAAAAAAAAATTCAACAGTTTAATGCTAAAACAAAATTAGTTCTCTAAAACCAGAAGAAAATCTTCTTTAGAGCTAGTGCAAAGACAGCTTGTATTCTACAGCAAGTACTCCAAACTATGGTATAATAATTACAAAAAATATATATAAATTGACAAAATGAGAGTGTTGGCATCTTCAGGATTAACTTGAAGCACTTTTGGATGAACTGGAGGATGAAAGCCTAGATGATGGCACGTCAACTGTCGCTCTCTTACGAGGTCCTCTTTTTGGTGTAGGCTTGCTGATACAGTTCTCAATGCTGCCATTTTTACCAGATACTTTTCCACAGATTTGATTGACTAGACTGATTATTTGTTCCTGTTCAGGAAGTGGGAAAAACAGAACACAAATTAGCATCAGCTCTTTCTCCAGTCACTTCTGATCACAGTGCTGCCTTTTTAAGTGCTTTCAGTTAACTGAGGGGGGGGAGAAAAGAGTCTCTATATTCATGAACTGTGCAAAAGCTTGGCTCCTATACTACTTCCTCACAACTGGAAGTTCCGTAACAAGTACTGTGTAGTAGTCCAAATACTTGTCCTTGCAGAAGCTTCCCCCCTCCAAACTTAAAGACAGTAATCAATCAGCAGCACTAGAAACATCTGAGCTCTTCAGCTACAATTTAAAACCCACTGCTGTTACGCATGCCATAAATTTAAATCCACAGTAACATTGCTTATAATTTACTATTTACTAAATTTCTCTTTAAAATTCAAGAAAAAGATTCCACTTTTTCCTTGTGACATTGTTGTCATTGGTTATGGGATGCTACTTCCATTTAATGCTTTTTAGGATCTTGGGGTGTCCCGGTGCTCTGAGCCCACGCGTAGAGAAAGCTGGCTTGCTGCCACACAGAGTAAGGGGTCTGAGTCCATGTCACTATGATGGGCAAGAGACAGGAGTCCCCGAACCACACATCTTGGCTACAACGCCACTCCTCATTCCATTACGTTCTGGGACTTGATGAAGTTTGGGGTCTGGGGGGCAGACTGGGGACAGCAAACTGGCTGTCCCATCCCAGTAAGAATGTTAAGTTATTTTTGTGTAAAGTTGAAACAGCCTCCTAATTAAAACTACCTAACAGTTAAAAATAGATAGATTTATCAAATGGCATTTGCCATGCAGGTTCTCTCTCTCCTCCCCATTCACAGCCCTCAAAAAAAATTTGTGTAGTAACAACTAGGCAGGCAGTTAGTATCTTTCAGAAACATAGAAACTGTGACAGTTTTTTACATTTGGGGAAAAAAAAATATCATCATCCAGTATCAAAGGTAGTTTTCTAGCAAAATCCCTAGCAAAAATAATTATTGTATGTGATTCTGCTGGAAAGGGTGGCTTTGAAAACCAACAGAGTTACCATATCTGTAAAAAGCACAGGATGTAAGAGACTGAATAATCTCAAGACTAAGAAAAATACATTCAAATTTCTGAAGAGCTTCCTGAAACTCTTTGGTGTGTATCGCATTACAAAGGCAGTTTCACTGTTGCCTGGGCTTCTTAGGTTGCACTTGTATTCTATCTACACTACCTGATACCAGAACAGAGTCGACAATTAAGAATGAACAAAGCCGCAAGGGCTTCCTGATCGTCCCTGGACTTGCTCTGACCCGTTGATTTTTCCCCCCATACCTCTGTGTGCACACCTCAGAAGCTGCTGAAAAGCACGTCTCAAAAAGCTACTTGCACCAGCACTGATCGGGAAGAACTGGTTTTGTAATCCCTCCCACTGCTTCACCACCCACAGCTCGGGTGAACGGTAAAATGCTCCCCCGCACTCTGTTCCTCACCCATCCCCCCACACACACACTGCTTGTCCACAAACGGAGCTACCTGGGCAGGTGACGAGGCGGTACTTGGCCGTACTGCAAGCGTAGCATTAGCCCAGAACCCAGGCACAGTCCTAAACCACCAGCTTGAGTTCTGCCATTATTCATCATTGCATTTGCTTGAAGCCATTACTGGACCTCTCATCTACAAACACTCTACAGTTGCCTTAAAGAAGGCTCAGGCTGGGCTGAAGTAAGTCAGCGTGAACTTTCAGTTACCAACAGAGAGAAGTTATCCTAAAGTACGGAAGCCATCATAAATTAACCAAAGCACAGCCTCGTGTTCTACAGCATCCCAAAGCATTAAATGGCTTCTCTGTTCTGTAACATATTCATGCAGTTTATGATGCAGGTTTCACCTTTGTAACCATGTTTCCCTCTATTTCTTTTACTTAGATCATAATAAAGCACCCTCCTCCCACACCCAAAAAAAATAGACCAAACAGCAAAGCACAGTCTCCCGAGGTCTAAGCAGGACAAAGGCAAAGCTCCATCTGCTCCCAAGTTTTCAGTATCAAAGCTCACCCGCACCACAAAGCTATACGGTACAGACCTCATCGTAACGGTACATCATTTTCAGTCCCCGACAAGACTTCTGTTTTTCCACATGCCGCAGGGCACACTCCAAGCAGAAGACAACATTTTCATTCTCCTGTACAACCTATGTAAAAATGCAGAGGTGGGGAGGGGGGGAAAGAAGCACAGTAAGCTCCAAACTGTAGCCACGTTACACATGCAGTATTGAATTAGTGTGTGAATTATTAAACCTGTGTTTTACTACAAGTTTGTGAAAGGAGGCGTAAACAAGAAGCATTACACATTGTGAAATGATTCAGAGTGTGTAAGAAGAAGAAAGTACATCTCCTTTTTGAGTGCTAACATTGGCAAATATATACAGTCTTTTAAAAAGCCACCAATAGTAATGAAGGCCAAATCCAAATAATTGATACACCCATAAAGCTGCACTGGCACCTGATATGTAGCCTAAAGCTTTCCCGAAAGCAGCTGTTTCCCATTACTTTAACTGCTGTCTTGAATAAGGATAAAATGGGAAGCTTAGCCACAGGATTCCTCAGCTACTGTCTCGTTCAGCAGAGGTCACATTTGCTCAGCTGGCTACCTGCCAAGCCTACGCATTCAGCCTGGAATTTGGCAACCAAGTTAACAGTAATAAGGGACAAAAAGTTAAGAGTGACAAGGAAAAATCCTTCCCCTCAATTATACTTACTCCAGAGCAAACGGACCAGAATTAAGAGGTTTTGGTTGGTTGGTTTTTTAAACAAACTCTTTTTAAAGTTACTTTGAACTAGTGCTGCTTAAACATGGCTTAGCTGCTCTGGTCTAAGACATGTATAAACTCAGCATGTTCTGTCCTAGGGAGGGAAACAGCTACGTCTCACCATTCAACAGTTACATTGTATTTCCAACAAAATGTTAACATTTCTAACAAAAAAAACCCAAAAGATGACAGAAAGGAGGACTGAATATGGGCTCACATGCACCGTATGATGTTTATTTAAGTATGTGATCTTGGAATTAGGTGGTACATAAAGTTGTGGGATGGGTTTTGGTATTTTTAATGAAATTGCTGTATTTCTAGGTGTTCTGCACACAGCTAAACACCTAAAAGTGTCACCAGAGTGCTGAGCGCCCCTTCAAAAGCCAGGAGCCAACTACTTCTACAAAGAGAGAAAGTTTAGGGCCATGACTTCTACTTTTGAACAGACACACTGTCAAACAGCATCTTAGCTTGATAGATAGGGTACATCTACCCTGCAATTTGGCTCGCAGGGAAACTGTCGCAGCGCGGGCTGTAGCTGCATGCCTGAGGCTCGGGACCCGTATTTGAGTTGCTATTTCACCCCGAGAACCGTTCTGCCATGCTTCACTACTGCTGGCAACCCGCAGGTATCTTTGTTCCCCCTCCCAGCGCAACGCAGACATGCTCGTGGGCGTCCAAGCGTGGCTGAGCAACTAGTTTATCCTTTCCTTACGGGGCGGGGGAAGCCAGCTAACACTAAGGATTGTCTTCTGTCACCGCTGCTTACGCTGCCTAAGGTGATAAATGTTCTGACACAGACCAAATCAACATCTCTGCGTCTTGCGTGGAGCATGAGAGATGACTCTAGTCACGTGCTGCCTTGCAAATGCTTATAGCCCACTACAGCAGCATTAGAACAGGGGGGACAGTACCCCAGTGAAGGGAAAGGATTCCACTCACCATGGAAAGATAGCACAGGTGCTGACAAATCTGACATCTCCTCTCTGATGTTTCTAACTGCAACCACTTTCGAGGCTTTTTCTTTCCATCCATCCCCGTGCTGCTGCTGTCATGGCTGCCGTAGCGCGCTGAAGAATGGAGACCTGCCTCATAAAGCTGCCGCCGCTGCCTCAGCTCCGTGTCCCTGTGAATGTTTGATGCAATTAGACACCAGCATCGCCTCATACCACCACAAAGCCACGTATAATCACCCTTTTACCACGACCATCACTGAAACCTTAGCTGCACGCAGCAAAGCCCTGAGTGTTGTTGGAGTTGGTACCATTCCCTACACATGGCGAGAGACAGCCAGCACCACAGAAACGCTGCCTAATTGCAAAAGCTATCTCCGGATTTTAACAGCGACCACTGTATCAAGCCAGTGGTTCTCAAACTGCTCCACAGAGAACTGGGGACTGCTGAGTACTTCCTGCAGGTCGATGGGTGCTCGGGGCCATGTGGAGAGTCGGGAGATGTGGCTAGCATGACTGTCATTCCTGAAGTTGCCAAAAGCCACCTTGAGGAGGAGGAGCCGTTGCTGTCAGGAGTAACATAGCCACCTTCATCAGGAGGCAGAGATGAACCAAGGACCTGCTGCCATGAGGTCCTTCAGGCAGGAAAAGGGGAGCAGGGCAAGTGAGTGTGCCAAAAGACGAAGATCTTGCTGTACACCCGGGGAAAAAGAAGGAGATGTCAAGTAAGAGCAGAGACTAAGCCCTCCAGCCGCCCTTCACCCATGGCATCTGCAAGGTGGACAATACTTCCTATGCTGAACTAGCCAGCATTAAGAGAGCAGGTCGGGTTGGAGCTGAGTGGAAGACAGCAAGTGTGGAGTGAGCTGAGCAGATGGAAGGGGAGAATAAAAAAGCTCACCACCAGACACAGCTGAAGATGGGTGGAGAGCCAAGCTAAGCAAATGGCATGGGCAAACTGAGCAACCAAGGCAGATCAGGAGAGGAGGCAGCAAAAGACAGAACAAACAAGCAAAACAAAACAAAGGAAAAAAAATATGGTACAATGTTCTGCTTTGATTGTGGATTTTTTTCAGGTTTTGTTGTTTGGGATTTTGTTTTACACAAGCAGCCACAGGAAGGACCGACATCCTCCAGAGAATTCCAACCTAAGCATAAGAACAAGTTTGAGAACCACTCTGATAGAGGTCGATGTGATGGTTTAACAGCAAGCACCAACATTTCTGTTTCACCTTTTGCACTTGCAGACTTTTCCTCTTCAAGGGAAAAAAAAAAAAAGGCACTTGGAAGTGATTATTCCCACAGGGGAACCAGCTGCAGGTAAAGCAGTCAGCACACCTCTTTCTTTGTATTTCTTTCTGAACACTAAAACAACACATGGGCTGTTTTCCCCTTCAATATGTCACTGGAAATTTTCCAAATGAACATGCTAGTTAGTTAAATACAGTTTGTAGATTCCATTCATCAAAACTTTCTTGACATCTCGAGTATCAGTTGTCACAAACTTGAAAGATAGGTAGCAACTACATGGTAGGGAACAAAAGAGAAGATCATTACAAAGGAAGCCAGGCAACATTATATTTTCTTTTTTTACCTATCTTAAGAGAAACCCTAAACATGTTTCCTTAATACTGGAGAGAAAAAGGAGCATTAAGGTTTTTTTTCTTTAAAACATTCAAATTCTAGTGCAAGATGCATTAGCACCCATGCATAAGCTGCTCACTGACTCAGTGGTTTAATCAGGACAACTCTCTGTATACAAAGTACCTTCTACAACTGTAGTATAATAATCTTGATGCTGAAGACAAGGGTTCCTGGTGCAAAACCCATTACAGGCATGGACTGACAGTGGCTACTGATGCCAAGAAGTTGAAAAACTAAAGAAAGGTATTTAACCGCTTGGCACCATGTAGTTCACATAACACATCAGGAAATCTTGACTCTTGGCACCAAGAATCAACAAAATAAAAACCCAAGGCAAACTGTAATTTGAACTTTTTGATGGTGCCCAAAGTAGGGAATTCTTAGAGTAAGACATCCTAACCACAGGCACTCTCACATCAGATACAGCCAAGGAAACTGCTTCTTCCACATATGGCTGTCTTCAAGTATGTTTGCTGGGCGTTTGCTTGGTTAAGTAGGTGCAAGACATGCATCTGAAATGGTTACTTACGTCATCCACCTCTGCAGTCTGTCAATGAAAACAAAATAGGTACAGCAGGCCCCCAATTCGTTACCTGAGCTCTCCAAGAAGTGATGATATCGTACTCAGAGTCGGTCCATTTTCCTTTTTTGCTTCCGCTGTTGCAATCTGATAAAGCAACTTTTCCATTGAAAATGGTTTGGCTATACGTCGTCTCTTCATTTCCTGGGACAGAAATTGCCAAATTAGTTGAGCAAATTTGGAAACAAAAAGTTATGAAAAATGAATTCAATGTAGCAAAAAGTAGCCTTTTAAAACAACCAAAAGTAAAAGCTTTCCATAGCCTGAATTAAAGTATTTATGTCCCTAACTTACATTGAGCACCTAACTTCCCACTGAAATAAATGCTAATTATAAATCAGTCCTTTCAGTGGAAAGTCAGGTGCCCAAATGCTTTGCTGAATTGTGTCACTTCTTCCTGATGAAAGGACTATGAAAGAAGATGATGAAAGAAGATTTTGTGCACGTGCTTTAGGTGAACCAATGCCACAGAAGAAAACTTGAAAACCTAAACCAAACACATGCTACCAGGCAGTCACAGTGAATTGCCTTCTCAGAGACTACCATAGTGCCTGTTACAGCGAAGATTTTGTTTTCTTTTGGTCACCAGTAGAGAGCAAAGAAGTACCTGCAATGCATGATGGTATATATGCTAAGAAATCAATCTACATGCTATCTTAATATGCTTTACTGTGAGATTTAGTGCAGAGAAAAGATAGGCAAGGTCTGCATATACAAAGAAAATAAAGCAAAATGCAAGTACTCTAGTGTCACCACATTTCAGGTATACTGCTTTTTCAAAAAAGAAAATTAAACTTCATCAGTGGAAAAGACCAGGACAGGAGGGATGTCAAGAAATGAGAAAAATAAGGAGAAGGATGCCCAGGCATAGATTAGTGTGCAGTCCACTGAAGGAACCAACGAACACCTCAAAATTATCTTCCTAAAAGTTCATTTTCCCTGTGGAGACCAAGAGGAGTAACCCAATCACTTAAGCTCAGTAATACACTATTGGCACTCTCAGACATCCAGTAAGATCTAGTATTCTGACCTGCTGAAGCCCAGGACTGCCATTATTTTGCATCTTTTAAAACATCAAAAAGACAACAACTAGCAAAACAGTCAGGGAAAAGAGACAACAGGCAAAAGAGGGGGTTTCAGTTCTGCTCAGTTCTGCCTGTTACTGGTTCCCCTCTGTGTAGGCTTTCAAAGCTACGTCCTTCATTCCTGTCAATATGAACCGACTGAGTTTGTTAGCTTAAAACCTTTCGATAATTCTTATGTAGGCAAATTCCTTGATTTATTGTGCAGGCGGGAAAAGTCTAGAGTTTTCCTAGTGTCTGAAAAGGTATGTTTTGTTTTATATTGAGTCAGAGAGTTTTCAAACGATGCTAAGACTGGAGTGCAATGTGAAGGTGCCATTTTGGTTACGAGTTAAGCCCACCAAACACCTACTCGGCACAAACAAAGCTGAAGATTCATCTTTAACCTTAATTTTTTCTCACCCTGTTTTGTAACCCTAATTGCATGCTTTTGGTATTACTTTTATCAGAATCAATATATCATAAAAATCATCAATTTTAATAGCACTGCTGCATGCATTGAAGTGGTAACATATATATACACACACACACATATGTATCAATATCATAAAATGGACTAGCAACCTTTGCTGACCAAAAAGCGTTCAAAAGAGGGCCACAGGTAAGAAAAGCATTCTTCAGAAGGTCCTGCTAAAGCCGGCCTGGGGTCAGAACAACTGCACTTTTAGGATTGGTATGAGAAGTTTTTTGCATGTTAGATTTGCTTTGCGTATCGTCCAAGGCTGCATAAGAACAGCCACTCCAAGCCAGAGCAAAAGCCCGCACAGGCACCACACGCAGCCAGGATAAAAGGCCACAGCAGGTGGCTGGAGAAAAAAGCAAGGTACACTCCTGCTGGCTGGCAGCTCAGGGACCTCCTGAGCACAAGAGGGGTCTGTCCTGCGTTTAGCACAACTCACTGGATCTGTGCCTTTATCTGAATTGCTGAATCCATGTACGTTTTTTTCCTCCACACAGTACTGAACTACACAAATAAGAATTTTAAAACAGACTTTTGTTTGCTTTTGACCTACTGCCTAATCATTTCTTTTAATGACATGTTTTTCAACGTTATGAAAGTCAGCGAACGTTCATATCATAATTATCATCATCCTGCCGCCTGTGATCTGGTCTTACTATCGTATATCTCTCTCGGTCACTTGTTTTCCAGGCTGAGTAGTCTTACATTTAATACTAGGAGGCTAACTCATACCTTTAATCATCAATCTCTGCTGTGCTTTTTTGAGTTTCCCTATATTCCTTTTGCAATTAGGGATTCGGTATTCAAGACACAGCCATAGCAAGAGCCTACACAGTGCCATAGCAATGTTTCTGCTTTGTTCTCTAGTCTCTCCCTGCAATTCCTAACATTCAGATTTTTTTTTTTTAAACCTCGCCGGAGCACTTTCATGGCAGCTTCATAGGAAGCCAAAGACGTCTTTTTCTCAGTTAGCAAGAGCTCATTTAGAGCCCATCACTGTGTTTGTAAAATTTGGATTTTTTTTCTACTCCCGAGTAATTTAAAATTTATCAACACTGAACACATCACTCGGTATCATAATATCTCTCTGTAACCCTCATAGCTTTAATTTTTGCTCTCATTAACTATCCCCAGCATAAAGGATTAGTTTTGCTATTCACTTCCCTTTCTAGGTTATTTATGGACACATTGAACTGTACTGGTCTTTACAAATTCCTGAGGAACATAGTAAGAGACCTTCCTCCATGATAAAAACTGACCATTTGTTTCCATCCTCTGCTTCTCTTTAAATCAGTTATTTTCTTGGTGCATGAACTTTCCCCCTCAACCCGTGGCAGGTTAATTTCTTTAGGAGCCTTTTCTGAGGAACGTTGCCAGAAGTCTTCCAGAAATGCTCACAGACTCTGTCAACTGGATCTCTTTTGTTCATACATCCTGCCAAAAGTTTCAAGGCCTGGGGGCCATGACCTCGCTGCAAAAGCCGTGTTGATTGCCCTGGTCTCATTCTTTTCTAAACTTATTTTTTTCTTTTGGCCTTTAGGCAAGTTGTTCTTTGAAATCTCTTTTTGGTCTGCATTTGTGCGTATTTACATGCTTCTTGCTAGAGTGGTTGTTTTATTTGCATTTTCATCTTCTGGACACAAAAGGGATTTTTTGGTCTCATTTCAAACAGACTCCTTTCTCCTGGTGTTTAGTCATGCCAAGTTTAGTGGGGGTTTGCCTTTTGAAAATTTTTTTTTTGCTAGGCAATGTGCATGTGTTGTGAGCCTCTAACACAGCATCTTTAAACAATTTCTATGCTGCACGCAAACACTTAACCCTTCTTTCTGCATTCTCAATTTAACAAGCTTCCTTGGTTTTATGCAGGGCTGTCTTTTGAAATGAAACACCACAGTAGTGGATATTTTGTATTTTATTGCTCTTTCAAGGTTCTTCATCTCTGCTCACCATCACAGCGCAGCTATTTGATGGTGATGTTTTGAACTGGGCTCTGCCATTGCTGAGATAGTGAGGTGACAGTTTCTCCTCACGTGTATTTCCTGACTAGCTGCTCCCTGAAGCCATTTCGGGTCTGGCATCACACCCCAACACAACCACTATCCTAGCAGGGGGGAAGAGACCAGCATTTCCCATTATCATCGCATGTTCTGTCCTCAGAGGTTTTCTCATCTCCTTTAGTATGATGCAGGCTGTGTCTACACATCATCCAGTACAGCAAAGCAGGAGGAGTGGATGTGTTGATCCTGAGGACCCAAACACCCACCGGACATGTGCGTCTAAAGTCGATGGCTTTACTTCAGAGCAGTCTTGCCTGGTCCCGTGGCCACACCACCACCGGTGTTTGGAGGACATCAGGTGAGCTTCTGGAGTGCCTCTTCCCATTTGGCTTCATCTGAAAGCAACCCAATCTGCTCAGGCTAATACAGCTCTGTGTCTTTTACCAAGGAGTGGTATTCATGTGAGGTTTTAAAAGCACATTCCTCATCCAAACTAAAACTTGGGGAAAATACATATAAAGCCCCTGACAGCATCTTGGTTGGACAGTCGGGAGCACAGTCCAACATGCCAACACCATGCTTTTCCTATTTAGGACAGGAAGAGGAGCACACAGAGATTCTGCCACTGGTGACAGAGTTAAACCTGGCTTATTTGACTGTGAGAGACTTCTGTGTGCAGCAGTGCTGCTCCAACAGGAGCAGGACTAACTCCATCTTTCCTATGTCCTCCTTTTTATATTACAGTACCAAGTGTAACCAAACTCTTCTTTCCACCAGGTTTCTGGTAGGTCCTATACCACGAAAGCCCGCCTTTAAAACCAGACATTCCTCCTTATTTCCAAACCTCTAGGCCAGCGTGCATTCATTTAGTCCAATTTTCTGTTTTCCTGTTTCCTAAACAAGTTTTACTGCCTTTGCCCAGTATCTTATTCAAGGATATGGAGTTACTCCTTTGCTGTTCCAAAAGCAAACTCTTCCACACCTGTAAACCTTCTCCTCATACTTAGTTTAAAATTTCAAGAGCTCTTAGGGTGTTTTTTAAAAGCCAGCAATCTTGTTCTTCACATGGTTTAGGTGAAACCCATCAGTTCTTTTACACAGGCTTTATACAAACTCCCTTTATTCCAACAATTATCCAAACTCCTTATGAACTGGAATCAATGCAATTTCAGATGCAGAATTTCATTTTTCCATATATTAAAGAAGACTGAGCAGTCATTCAATACATGAAATGGAACAACATTGTTTAGTAATATAAAGAGAGTCGCTATAAAAAAATCAGGTCACAGTATCACAGAATGAAAACAAAGATAATGTACCAAACAGCTGAAAACTGTCAATATTGCTGTCGAGAACGGACAGACAGGAAGGTACAGTTGTTTGTCAGAAAGTTCATTAACAGTCCAAAAGGGGAATCTTGCTCGTTACACAGAACTTCTCACAGCCTCTGAAAAGCACAATCCTGGCCAGCCTTTGAAAATGGCAAAGTGCCTTGTCAAAATGAAAGAACAAAGGAAGAATTTCCGAAATTTAAGGGAGTTAAGAACATAGGATATTTGAGGAAAGAAGAGGGGGAAGTTAAAAAAAAAAAGAAGGAAAAGAACAATGCAGTAGGTGTTTCCAGAGTATTTTGATACAAACACATATCTGTGGTTCTTGTAAAGTTTGCGAGAGCTGTGACTTCAGTTTCCAAGGTAGGTTATCACAGATTGGAATCTGCTGGATTTTTCAGTCAGCTTATATTTAGTCAGTGCAAAGCCCTTACAAATTAATCAAAAGAAACTGTTCTTCAGAATCTGAGGCACCAAGAAGAGCTTTTTAATTTCTGCATAGTGATTTCTCTCTCTTACAGGAGTGGCATTTTCACAATATCAAACAAGTGTTCAGTAGAGCAATAAATACAGCATATGGAGTTAATATAATTGTGTATCTTCAGACAGAAAAGATTAGCTCAGGATTCTCATTCTTTATCTATACACATATACAATTCCCACTGTCCCCCCAAATAAATCTGTAATAAAATAACCTTTTATTTCAAACTAAGTTAATATACAGTTAGTATAACCAGACTGGAAGAATTTCATTAACCCTAAAGAACCAAAACCTAACTGTGGACATATTACATTTAATTACTTCCTAACCACTTGGTCTGAAGCTGTAAATGATAATTTTCTAGTGGCTTAGCTATAGAAGACTACCAAAATAGCATCTGTAACCCATAGCGTATCTGAGGAGGTTGGGAACACAATTAGTGACATATATTCTTTATCCGAGAACAGAGAAATGTAGCCAAAATCATGACAATTGGGCAATTCATCTGTTTGTTTCTGCAGACAACCTGCCTCAGCTGTGTGAAAAGGGAACAGGAAGTTTGTTTTATTTACAGCTTAGTATTGGATGGGCTGGTCAGTGACCCTAAGGATTTTCAAGTCTCTTAAAACTGAAATTGCCCTGATCAACAGCTTTTCCTGAATGAAGGGGCAGAGAAAGACAAGCAATACAGCTGTATTAATCTGCCTATCATAGGAGCTAACAAGCACAGTTATTCAGATATTTGCACCTGAGATTCTAATGATTCTAGAAAACATCACTAAAAAAAATTAGTAAGCATAATACAATATATTATCATTAGCTCTGAAGGGATTTCTGAAATGCTTCCTCGCAAACTCGTCTGCAGGCATAACAATGTTCTGAATTTTTCAAATATACAGAAGTTCTTAGCTATCAGTTATTACCTCTGTTGCTTTTCTGAAAACACTGGATCATCTTGTGCCTTGCAGAACTTTTTCCTTTTTTTATTTAATAGTCCACAAAAATAGACGTAGTTGTACTAGTCTGACAATACTATCAATCCTGGAATGGCTGGTTTGCTGTTGTTTTAGATGGCAGGGCTGTGAATCCATTTTAACTCCTTTTTTCAACTTACCTTGGCTGTTTTAAAACCCATGCTTGTCCACTGGGTGGTAGCAAAGTGCACTGTTTCAGAAACACTATAGCCACAACACACTTTAGACACAAAGGATCCAGGAAAACAGACAACAAACTGCCAGACGTAGTAGTACTAGTCACTAGTACTAGACGTAGATTGTACTATCAATCAATACAGATTGATACTATCAATCCTGGAATGGCTGGTTTGCTGTTGTTTTAGATGGCAGGGCTGTGAATCCATTTTAACTCCTTTTTTCAACTTACCTTGGCTGTTTTAAAACCCATGCTTGTCCACTGGGTGGTAGCAAAGTGCACTGTTTCAGAAACACTATAGCCACAACACACTTTAGACACAAAGGATCCAGGAAAACAGACAACAAACTGCCCGCTCTGCTGTACAGTACGGTGCACCCTGATCCCCTCCTTACACAAGATTTCCGGGGAGATCTAGAAAGACAGAAAAGCAAAACAAAAACAAAACAAAAACAAACAAACAAAAAACACAAACAAAACCACAAATCAGAACTTTCTTTTACAGTGCGACCCCCTTCCACATGCTACTAGTGGAGAAGAGCTGTGCTCTGCTAACAGCTCAGCTCTGTTCACTTTCTCTCTTCCCTTCTGTACATGCTGAAGCTGAGTGTTTGGAGTGAGAATTACAGAAGCAGCTCTTTTGAAACCAACAGTTTAAACTTTCACTTGCCAAACAATTGCAAACACAAAGCCTCAAAACAATACTATCTGCTACTCCAGAAAGTAACACAGGCCATTTGGTTTTCCATCTGGATCTTCTCAGGCAGACTTGGCATTGGATGCACCTTGCTACGACACTTCTGTTAAAGATGTTAACATGGACAGCTCAGGGAGTTGTTTTTGTTGTGGGCTCACAAATTTATACCTAAATGCACTAAACGGAAATTGTTATCTGCAAAAAAAACAAGGGAGCCCAAAATACTTTGAAAACCTTTTGAGTATTAGGTTTCTCATATCCATGCTGGCATCATAAAATGTCAATCATGGTAGATGAATTGATTACAAAACACTCCCTTTGTGAGGATAAATACATTATGGACAGTATTAAAAATGGACATTTATTGCACTGTCACATTTATTTTTATTTTAACATGTGAGCCTTGTTAAAAAAATGCCATGTAGGTAAATGCTGCAAGCAGAAAGTAGCCAGATTTTAACAACATCCTCTGCATCATTGTAATGTAAGAAAAAACCAAAATAAATCCCCAAACAACCAGCCCTCTGATTAGCCTTGGGTTCTCAAATGGGAATACCTCTCCCAGTTTTAACCTACCATTACATTACTTTCAAGCATTTCCAGCCCTGGAGTGCCATTGGCTTGCAGCAGGGTATGTACCACATCATCAAGTTTGTTCTCCTCCGCAGCAGGAATGCAATACCTGTTGTTTTTGTCAGAGGAAAAGAGAAAGATTTACTGTGGAGTAAATAATGGTCCACAGCTACACAGTAACAGGCAATTCAGACCAGGACATTGATTAAAAGAAAGAAATTAAACACAGGCTTTCCCACACAGTTCTTTTTGGAAAAACACTGAGGATTCATGGAAAGCTATTTATTTAGACTCGGTCTGATGGTGTTCACTAGATGCCAAAGGACACAAAATCCTCAAAGCAGAAATGTGAATACTCAGTGCTCTGTAGAATCATAGAAGAAAAATCAGCAATAGCATGACGTGCATTTTAATGGCACTGCAACATCTAATTATGGGCAGAAATTTGCATCTCATGAGCACCAATATATGTACTGTTATCTTTATCATAAATGCTTATATTTATTACCTGTGCATCAGCCAAAGGATCTTTTTATTTAGTAATGTTTTCTGTTCATAACAATCAAGAAACCACAAATCATCTTTCTCTTAGTACACAAAGTGATCTTCTTGCCTTGCTTACTAAACAAATCCCACATCCTTCCTCTCCCTTGCAACAAAAGAAAGACCTAAGAGCAGCCAAAGCAGAGAGAGATTTAAAACTGCTGGGATACACCCCAAGTTGCACATCCTCCTCTCCTTTAGAAGCCAAAGAAGCAGCTGTCCTCTCTGTGCTCACTGCCTGCATGTGACTTCCCTATGCAGAAGTGACAAGAAATAATGTAGGAGTTTCAGGTCTTAGCTTCAACACATCCAGAAAACTGCTATTGTGCTGGATCCAAGGACGCGATACGGTGACAATTCGCCGCTATCCTTGCTTGCACCCTGCCAGAAGGGTAATAGTTTATGTCCACCCAGGAGATACCTGTTCCCAAGATCTGGTAGTTGGTACCTGACAACTGTGAACTGCAGCACAGCTTGGTGGGAAACAGAGTGCAAATCCCGGGATTCCCAAACCTGCCTTGAGCTGCTGCCATGCCAGGCTTTATCTGTGACATTACTTTATTTGGATTTGTTATGCTCAGGCAAATAAAAAGCATCCCCAGATTTATCGTGACTTACCTCCGTTCGCTTTAAGCAATGAGACCTTAACCTGGAGCCCAGCTGCCCCCAGACCAGACACATATACACACACACACAGCTGTTTTTCCAAACTTGGCAACAAGAGAACAGAATGAATCTGGAAAGATTTTGGGGAAATGCTACAGTTTTCTTGTCATTCATCTCGTCTCTCCATCAATTTCACAAAGTGTTCTGCTGGCCTTACAGACCTTGTCAGGGTATTTGCTTATAATATGCACTAACATTAACTCTGTATGCATCATACACAGTTATCCTGCTTGATTAGTCTGTAGGAGGCTCTACTTCCTACAATTTGAATCTCTTGTTACCGTTCACTATACTGACGATGATTTTGATTTGTCTTTGTTCATCTTCAAGCTGAGAGCCAAGAGATGACAGTATGTACTCATACAGCTAATCGTAGCCACAATAAGGGCTCTAATGATCTGGTTGCCCAGGTGTACATAGACTGACTCCTTACATATATATTGACAATGGTTAGGACCTTGCTAAGAAATCCTAGGGTTATAGAGAGGTGGAAGAACCTGATCTTGATAAGGATCAAGTCCCAACAGCAATTTTAAATGCATACTATGTATCAAACACTTCGCTGTACCTGCACTGCTAACAGAGACAGCTGCATGTGTGTAGACTATTACTTTAGTTACACTGTAATAACAGATTTTAAATTATGACGGAAATATTTTAAATTCAAATCCAGAACATGGCAGAGCCCGCTCTTTTCTTTTAGAATCATACAATATAGCTGGAACTATAGCTGAAAGATTCAAGTGTGCAGTCCTTCACAAGACGGTCCCAGGAAAAAGCACGGGAAGGATGTGTGAAGAGGAGGGGCAGCACAAAAGTGCATGGGACTACCCAACTACTGGCAGGACTGAGGGGAATGGAGATCCTTTTCAACTGTGGCATATGCTGCAATTTCACTCACTCGCAATTCTTCATGTACCTATAAAAATGGGAAGTGAGCAGTGAGCGAAGACTTCTGAGTGCCTTGGGCAGAACAAGATTTTCTTCTCTCTTTTAATGGGCACTGAGGAACGCTCCAGAATAAAAAGGTTAGGCCACCGACACTGCATGAAAATTGAGTTCTCCCCTGTTTACTCTTCAGGAGGTAAAACCTGAGAGATTAGACAGTGACCTGAGAAATCTGCAAGTAAATGAAGCACCACTGATTTAAGCACCACAGGGATCTGTCCTTGGAAGAAGAACTTTCTGGATGCTGGACAGACTTTGCCAGACGGAGAGCTTTGGTGCCCAGTGGCCTGCTTTGTTATCACTGAAGCAGCCACTGAAAGCAGTGCTGTCAGGGCTACTCCAGATTATTATGCCAGATCTAGAGTTATTAAATTCATCTTTTACTCAATAAAGCTAGGTACTTCACTGCAATATTAAAAGTTGTAATGAGTTAATAATGAATACTAGACTGACACTTCAGCCTGGCAGTCTTGCCAAAGAACAGCTTTTACAGACAAGTTTTGCTTCTTTCTTCTTATGAGTTATTTCTGCTTACTATCCATGTTTCATCAAGGCAATTATAAGTACACCTGAAGCTATGTACTCACGTGTATAAGTAAGTCCATC